ACTTTCCCTTCATCTACCCAGTCAGTCATTCCATCACAGAAGGCTATCAGGTTAGTTAAGCATAATTTCCCCTTGGTGATTCCATGCTGACTTCCTGAGCACCTTCTYGTCCTCCATGGCCTCTTGGAGACAGCAGCCAGGATGAGCTGTTCCATCACTTTTCCAGGGATGGAGGTAAGGCTGACTGGCCTATGGTTGCCCRGGTCCTCCTTCCTAGCAGTTTTGAAGGCAAGTGTGACATCATTGTCTTTCTTCTAGTCCTCAGGCATCTTCCACATTCTCCAGGACTTTTTGAGGATGATGGTGAGTGCCTTGGCAATAACATCCACCAGCTCATACAGCACTCTTGGGTGCATCCCATGAGGGCCCAGGGACTTGTGGGTATCAAGTGTTGTCTAACCCAGTCTTCCTTATCCAGAGCAAGTCAAAGTCAAAGTCCAAGCCCTTGTTCCTTTCCCCTTCCCCAAACTCTGCAGAGCGCTACACTCACAAGTTCCTCAGAGCAACATCTCTACATGCCATGGAAGGAGCAAAGTGCTCGAGCACTTGATGACCCCCCAGAGTTCCTTCCAGACGGAGTTATTCTCTGGTTCATCAGTACTGTTCTTGCTTGACCATACACATTTTCATAATGGCTGGGTTTCCAGGAACATGCAGCTCCATTTTCACATATGCAAACACACAATGCAAACACACAGCCACAGTCTTTACTAGCTGATGTACAATTTCAAAAATAACACTTTTTACAATTCACCAGAAATATGTAGATCTACAAGTGTACTTGTGCAGCTACCTGAAGCCCATGGGACAGAGCACTCTAGTTTGTGGGAGCAGGGTTATTCCAGCTTTGTGTGGAATCATGCACAACTCAAGTCTTTCACCTGGTTATCACTTGAGGGGTGAGCCTGACAGCTGCATCTCAAGCAGGGATTCAGAAACTGAAAGGTTTTATCTTAGCCATCCATGGATTGTTAAAGTCAAACCTACAAAACTACATGCTTTCTAAGCCTATAAGGCCCCAAAATGTGAATAGCTCCCAACTTAGTTGCTAAACTATTCTGTGGGACTAAGCAGATTCTTTACCTTGAGTCTTCTAAGCAAGACTGTAAAGCTTCAATGAACATCCTTGAGCTTCCTGTTCAGCTTATATCAGCTTATATTCAYTCCTTTCCTTGCATTGTACACAGGAAGATAAATATTTTACTGATTTCAGCATTAAACATTGGAAAAATTCCTTTAATTAGACTTTTCAAATCAAAGTAATTGCATTTTGCTCAACAYAGACTTGAAGATGTAATAAATGCTCAACTCTGCTTTAGTTTAGAATAGGGGTGAAATGCTTTGTTGTTTCTCTGGAAGAGGTTCAATACAGTAACACAATAGTTTACAGCTATTGTTATGACTGAAACACGTTTTTGTCTTTATTACGTATCTTAGGTAACGCCAGAAATGTTTTGGAACCCTTTACATTTACTAATTGCAATGCAGGTTACTCCCACTAGGTGTTATCCTTCCTCTACGGTTTTGTGAATCTGCTCTATGAAGGAAACTGCCCTGAGTGAACAAATCTGCATCCAGCAACCCATGGGTTTGCTACCTGAAATGCAAAATGCAGGCTTGTTCTTCACCCCAGACTAGTTTTAGTGGGAAACGAGCAGGAAACACCTRTCTAAATGCTCAAACAGCAAAGACAATACTTGCCTTCAAAAAAAAAGAGACAAATAACATAATCATTTGTCAAAATATACATATATATTTATATATAAAGAGCTGTTGGGTCCTATCAGATTAAGGCAGCACACATTCAATGCATAGCTAGTGCTGCTATGCAGCTAAGAGCAAACACTAAAATATGTATGTCTTACCTGAGGTAGTTATTACTCAGCGATCACAAGGAGAAATTCAACTACATGTTTATTGTCCTAAAGCCCTGCCTGTCCTGGAGATCATGGCCAACTCTCCTGATGGGGGCTACATGCCTAACAAGGCTCTCTGTGGCACCCTTGAATGCGACACATACTAATATTTCACTGTCTCCCACACAAAATGAGAATAAAACACTCTGTTATGCAACCCAGTGACTGACACATAAGTAAGAAGAGTTGATATATTTATCCATTTTAATTTCCTTCGATAAAACCCATTTCTCTTCATTGGAGAAAAGTGTAGACATATGGGGAAAGAAAAAAGAGGGGGGATGGGGAGGGAAGTGATAGGAAATGAAGAAAAAATGCTGAAAATGGGAAGAAAAATGAAGTTAAAGAAAAGGTTTTAATAACTATAGCCAAAGCATCCCCACTTGCATAAAGCAGGTTTGTTATGCCTGGAGAAGCTCTTCTGGAAAGGGGTTGCATCGAAGCTGACCTTATAGTACCAGAAATGTCAGCGCTGGGCATGTTTTTAAGTCCACAAATGATAGTTGTCTCACAGGCAAACTCCACAAGCTGGGTCCTTGCCCAGGACTGTATGGAGAGGCTGCATGGACAGCACCCTCCTTGCCTCCTTTCTGACGGGGAGCCAGGGGGCAGCTTGTGCTTGGGGACACAGGACACTGCAGCGGGATCGATGGGTTCATGCCCCTGAAAGAAGCCTCCTGGGGCAGTGTCCAGGTAAGTGCCTGTTACAGGTGACATGCTCGGCTTTGGGCATGATGTGATACAGCAAGGAGGGGCTGGAGTGGTAAGCAAATTACTGCTGTGCTTTTGTTAACCTRCATTACTGCTCACTTGGTAACAGGGAAATGAGGTTTCACTAACAGATGAGTTAAACACCCCACCTTTAAAACATAAATATTTTTAAGACGTGCCTGCTGGCGTATCTGAAACCTTTCACTGCAGGCCCTGCTATGAATAACTGACCCCACCGGCGMTGCGTGATCTCATCTTCTGGGTGCAGGGCTTAATCACAGCGCGCTCAGCGGGGAGCCCACGTTGGGAAAGCAGGGTTTAAAACATGAGCCCGTGGGAGGCTCTGAGGTGCCTTCTGCYAAGTGTGGTCCGGAGTGGGGTTGGTGGGGGTGAAGCTGGATGAAGACACAGAGAGGCAGGAGCAACTCCATGAAGCTGCTACCTGCAGCCCCCCATGTGAAAAGCCCTTGTGCTTTGAGCCTGGACRGCTGAGCCTGAGAAAGTGCAAGGAAATAAATCTGCAATTCCACAATTCCACATGTGTTGGTGGATACGTCACGTTAATTTCTCCTTTCTCTATGATGACAAGYTCATTATATGCTCATAAGGCTATGTGGTTATGTAGCTTATAATTTTGATTCCGAKTTCTTTTGCTTCTTCTGGTTCTTCCAAAGACAGCGCAACCTCCCTCCTACACCTCTCTCAAAAAGAAAAGGAAAAAAAAAGAGAGAAAAACAAGTTTTTTTTCTACAAAACATCAACAAAGTATCACATTAACTTAGTTTGCCATTTTGCTCCCACAAATGGAAATCCAGGACAGCCAGAGGTCTGTCAACTTGCTTTTCCCCATGGGAGGTGATGTTCCACATTTTCTTTGCCACCTTCGCTCCCTTAGTTTTGTCCACATTAAACTCCTGTAACTTCCTGACTGCTTCCTTAGAGCACAGCGTCTTCACAGCATCTTGCCCCAGCTTTCTCCTTGTCACCCACACCTTTTTGCAAAGTTTTGTTTCTCACTTCCTCTCTTCTTGGGCAGACTTCTCCTCTTGGGCAAACTTCCTTTGCTTTTGGAGAACCCAAGTGCATTTCCTTCCCTCCCGCTGGCCATTTCCCCATCCTCCACCTCGCACTTCTTGGACAAACGTGCCGGGTTCTTTGCAGCGGGGTATTTCAGAGCGCACTGCACATTGCAACCCAGCTCTCTTGCAACACCCTTCCAGCCGGTCCCTCCAGGGAGCAGGGATGCCCGGCAGGAGTGCGCGGGATGCGGCAGATCCGCATCCCTTTGCTGCTCGCCACATGAAGCTCGAGCAGCAGCCTGACCCAGAACCGCCGCATGTAACGGGGGCTCCGGAACCCCCCAAACAGCCCCYGATGCTGCCGCTTAGCGCGACCCACACGGCGCGGGGGCCGCTGCCCACGCGCGCCGCGGGGACCCCCA